GACAAGAGGAAATGGCTTCAAGTTGTACCAGGGGAGTTTTAGATTGGATATGAGAAAGGAAGTGGTTAAGTCACCATCCCTGCAGGTATTTAAAAGATGTGTAGGCATGGTGTTTAGTGACATGGTTTAGTGGTGGACTTGGCAGTTAGGTTACTGATTGAACTTGATGGTCAGAAAAGTCTTTTCCAACCTAAATGACTCTATTCTGTAATTCTATCTGCCTGGCCATAGAGGGACACCACATTGGGAAGCACTCCTACAAGATGAGCTTGACATATTCCAGGTTGCTTGCAAGTGGTATGAAACATAGAAGAAAGGGTTGAAGTCCCTGGGTGTTTCAGTGCTCCATGGGAATGGCCTGTGTGTGCTCAGCTTCTCACACCCCCCCATCTATCCAGTCACTCCAGAGCCTGGTGAGGTCTGATAAATCACTCTTGACTCAGCAAAACATTGCCATATGTCACTGCAGAGCTGGTACTATGAATGTCTCTCCTATCCAGCCATCTTCTAGTTGGGTAGAAACCAAAACATTTGTAAACAATGTTTGTAAAAGGAAGAGCTACAGTGCCCTCAGAGTCTTTAGAGGTGCTTAATGGAATAGATGCACTTTAAAATCTTCAGAACCTGTTCTTGCATCTGTCAGGACCTTAATCCCTGTAAAGACTTGGCTCTTTTGTGTGAATTACTTTAAATGCCAAAGAAGTTATTTTATTATCCCATGAAAGGCTTTAATGATGGATAATAGTGTAGAAACCACAGACTGCACTACCTAGTTTCAAATTGTCTCTGCTCTGCAGTGAAGACACTGAGAGGCAGAGACTTGCCCACAGTGCCATGGAAACTGGGCCCATTTTGAAGCCCAGTGTGGCTTCCCTGTCTCCCACCAACACCAGAAACACAACAGGCTCTTCTTCAGCAGAGCTCTGTAGCAGATGTGGCACAAACTGCCATCCCCTTTGCTGTGGATTAATTTATGCAAGCAGGTTAAACTTTCTGGTCAGCCTCAAAAGAATTGTTGCAGCTGGACACTTTACAGTGTGCCAGGTGCTGCTTCCCTCCCCCTTCTCTGCACATTTCAGCTCAGCTGGCCTTGGGCCACCTTCAGGTTGCATCCAGATTCCTAGGTAATGACCTGGAGGAGCTCAACCAGGTGTCCAGCAACCTGAGCAGCTTCAGTGTCAGAAAGTCCTTGAAGCTGCTCGTTATGGGAACACCCCCAACCCTGGATACAACTCACCATGCCAGTGCCCTACAAGGCTCTCATTACCTAGAAACCCTGGGAATGCTTTATCCATAGGACAGCTGGACCTAAGGCTGGATCCTGCCATCAGGCCCCTCTCCTGGTACTGTTGAGACTACTGTCACTGCAGATGCAGCAGGACCAGGCTTTATAGCTATGTATAAGTCAAAGCTCTTTATAAGCCTCAATGCTGTCTCTGTTTACCCCTGTCTGGCATTGCTACTGCAAGGCAGTATCCAGAGACCTGCCTATCCCTCCCTGCAGCCATGGACACAGCCCTGAGCCCGAGGTTATCTGGGGAGCAGCTGGGGGAGCTAAGCTGCTGTCACTCTAGCAAGGTGTCAGGGCATTTCTACCAGTTTTGTCTTGCCTGATAATGACAGAGAAGCAATTTCTGGGTTTGTCCTTCACTCCCTGACTTCAGGCAGATTTGGGGGCAACTTACTTGGTTGCAGTGTGCTTCCCTGGGAGCAGGACAGTCAGCAGCCCTGTGTGATCAACCATGGTGCCTGTGAGAGCAAACAACCCTTTCCTCCCCCTGACTTGACTGAAGCATGGAAAGATGGGGAACCAGTACATTCAACAGGCACAACTGTATGCAAAAGCACAAACCCATGTGCTTACCCTCTGCCACAGATCAGTGTCTTGCAGGTGTCTCACTGTCCACTGGCTGCCTCTTGAGTCTCACCTGGCCTCCTCAGACACAGATCTGCCAGGTTTCAGCGTCAGGCTTTCTACACCAGGCTGGATCCAGCCATCCCTCACTGGCCTTTGAGGTCCATGGTGGTGTTAAATCACTCCCTTTGCTGTCCCTGGCTCTGTCACTCACTCTTGAGCTCTGTGAAATAAACAGGCAAATCCACCAGTCCCCAGGGAGGGTGAATATCTCTGAATAGACTGCATGTAGAGTCAACACTGGACCTGTCCTGAGGCTGCCCACGCTTTGACCTTGAGAGTCTGGCCTGCAAGTGTATGCTTTAGCTCTGCAGTTTCTGAATAAACACTCCATGTCGTGCTGGAGGCATGTGGTTTACCACTTCTGAAGAGCCCTGGAGTTGTCTGTGTTGGTTTTTCTTAGCCTCTGCAAACAAATAGACACAGCTGTCAGGGGATACATGGGGACGGGCTGCAGTCACTCTGCCTGTGCCCCTCAAGCCACTGCATGGGGCTGAGATGTTGGTCATCCCCAAAACCCTAGGGGGAGGTTGTGTCCCAGTTATGCACCATGCTATGCTGGGCATAACCTTCCCCTCATCCCTGGCTGAGAGCTGGGAGAGAGCTGCTCAAATACATCCTGCCTGCAGCAAGGCTGGCAGGAGCAGAAAACCCCAGGGGGAAAATGAGCAGCACATTTGTGTTGTTCATCATGGAAGTATTTTGGGGGTGATAACCTCACCTAAGCCCTTCCCTACGGTGCAGATGAAACACTACCCAAAGGTCTGCACAGGAGAGCTGGTACTGCAGAGAGCAACAGGCTGCCAGACCACATCTCCCTCAATACCCAGAAGACTGGAAGAGGCAAACGGCTTTGCAGATCCCTGGGGCAAATGAGCAGATGGTGTAATAGCAGCAACCGTGGACAGCTGGGCAAGCTGTGTCCCCTCCTCTGCAGAAGTGGAAAGAGTTCAGGAAATGAAAATAGGGATGGCCAGAGCTCTAGAGAACTTTGAGCAACTAGCCAGGCTAGGACTTTTCAGCCTGTGAAAAAAGATTTTAATAAAATAAAAGCTTTTAATGACAGCAGCCAACTCTGGGCCTGAAAACAGTGGACACTAAGTCAGATGGATCTCTAGTCTGACCAAGCATGTCTGGTTTGCACTCCTCAATACTATTTCCAGCTGCAGTACTAAATCCATCAGCAATGGCTTTGTCATGAGTTACAGTGCCACCACATCCCACTTGGGGGTTCCAAGAAGATGTAGAACTGGAAGATGTGTGTGGGGATGGATTAGATAATCAGCTGGTCAAGCACAGTAACCATGACACCGGCACAGCTCCTGGACTCACAGCGTGTTGACTGACTTCAGGGAGCTCACTTGACTGTATGATGCTGCCCAGACCCTTCCCCAGACACCTGCAAATAAATTGTGTGAGTCTAGTAACAAGTCAGAGCAGCATGATCTCATGTGGGTGAGCACAGACCTGTCCTTGAAGGGTTTCAGTTCACACTGAAGCACTATTCAAAGCAACTCCATGCTTGCTAAAGCTGATCAGAAATCTCAACTAGTCGTTTTGTAGAAATACAACATCTGGTGCAGCACAGAACTGAATTCAGGAGGCGAGTCCTGAATTAGCCAGTGACCACTAATCTTTGTCACTGTTAGCAAAAGAATCCCCTTGCATACCCAAGTCATACACCTTTGTTACAGGTATTCTGTGAAATGTGAGTTGTGTCCTATCTGATAGAGGTGGGAGATGAAAGAGCAGAGGGGGCCCCAAGGGCTACTGATACACCTTTGCCCTGTTACCTTGGTTGGACTGTGCCTTGCTACAGTCCCAGAGATGGTCCTGATACCACGAACAACATGGACCTGAAATTTGGCAACTGGCTGGGAATCTGCACTTTCCAAGGAGCATTTCTAGTTAATTAGTTCAGTTTGGAGAGCTGGAACAGAGATCTGTGTCTCCTTGCATTCAGAGATTCTGCTTGGGCTCTTTCCATGCTCTCATGGTGCTATCTGAATCACAGAATTCAGGTTGGACGGGACCTCAAGGATCATCTGGTCCAGCCTTTCTAGGTAGTACTCTAATTTATATGAGATGGCTCAGCACCCTATCAAGCTGAGACTACGAATTGTCCAATGTGGGGGAATCTGTAATTTCCCTTGGGAGACTATTCCAATGATTAACTATCCTTGTGGTGAAAAATTTACCTCTTGTGTCCAATCACAATCTCCCCAGGAGCAACTTGTGCCTGTTACCCCTTGTCTTTTCCATGTGACTCCTTGCAAATAAGGACTCACCATCTTCTTTGCAGCCACCCTTTTAAGTACTGGAACAAGGTAATGAAGCCTTTTTTTCTTAACGCTGAACAGACCCAGTTTTCTCATCCTCTCCTCATATGGCAGGGCCTCCAGTTCTCTGATCATCCTTGTGGCCCTTCTCTGGAGCCTCTCCAGCCTGTCTGCATCCTTTTTGCGGAGAAGGGACCAAAACTGAACACAATGCTCCAGGTGTGGTCTGACCAGTGCTGAGTGGAGCAGGATGATTACTTCTTTATCTCTGTTTGTGTTGTGAAAGACTCTTGGATAAAAAGCTGAATAATGCTTCAAGTGAGAAGAGCAGATGATACTGTTTTCAATTTACAGCCACTCTGGAAATGTTTTGTTTTTTTTTGCTAGGGAGTCAGGGAGTTCTGTTCTCCCACGCTGAAGAAACTTTACTTTTCCTTCACTAAATTGCCTCCTACAGAAAAAAAAATTGTACTTGTTCAGCACCTTCTTCTCTGGGGTCTGTGTGTTTCTTGCTACTCTTTTGTGACCTTTCTCACAGGAATGTGGGTGAAATAACACTCACAGTACAGAGCCCTGGTATGTGATGTGGATTTGAAATGAACGTTTTGACTGTACGCTTTTAGTAGCCACTTGTGGGAACTGGCTTGAGCTTTTTTCACTCAGCCTTACATAAAAAAGGGCTCTTGAAATTAGATTGTGCATGTCATTTTATTATTCACCATCACTACCTTAAATGTACAATCAGTACAGGGCACATAGGATCAATTAATCACCTGTTTCTAGGCTCAGGAAATCTACCAGAAAGCTCAGACAGCTTGACACTCCCCATCTTTCAAAATCCGGATGTCTTGCCTGGTTTTCCTACAATAACATAGGAAAAAAGAGTAAGAGCTCAGAAAAATCCTCCCTGCATCATACTTTGGCTCCTGTCCAGGCTGTGGAATGGACCTGACTATTATAAGATTGGCTTGCTCATTTGCTTGTTTAAAAAGCTGGCTGCAAGCCATCCTGACCCACAGATATCCCCTTCCTGGGAGTGCAGTACTGGTGCTGGGTCTCCAGCCCGACCTGCTCACAGCAGAGCTGCCTCCACTGTGAGGTTATGGTGGCCATGGCTCTGTCTGAGCCCTAATCACCCCCCTCCAAGGATGGAGATCCTCCATACCTCCATGGTGCACCACCCTCCTGGGGAATGGGTTTCCTCTCTGTCCAGCCTGTACCCTCTGGAACTGCTGCCTGTGGCAATAGCCCTGTTTTGCATCACCTGCTACCACCAATAAGAGTGTAGTTTCCTCCCGTTAGCAACATTGCTGTGAGATCCCCCCAGGCCTCTCCTTCTCCAGACTCACCAGACCCAGCTCCTCTGACCCTCCTTGCAGCTTCCCTTGACAAGCTGGTCATCCCTCTCCTCCAGCATACAGTTTGTTTTTTTGCTGTGCAGGTGCACTGGTGACCTTTGTTCAAAATGATCCTGACCCTGGGCAGTCACTTCCCAACCTGGACAAAAGCACTACTTCAAAGCACCCTTGTGCTTCCCATGAGGTCCCTGCTGCCCTAATCCAAAGGTGGTAGGCTGGAAACTCAGCCAAAAGAGTCATGAGACACATAACTGAGCATTTGCATTCACAGAGGTTTCTCTGAAGGACTTAGTGGTGCTATTTGACTGTCCAGGCTTGAAGCTTGGTCAACCTTTTTGCACATTTAAGTGCAATTCTCCCTTCTCTAATTTCAGGCAGCACACATGGTGGGACCTCATCCATCCTCCTGTCTCTTGCCAGCTTGTGAACACTCGTCTCTTGGCCACAGATCCCTGACCTCACCTCTTCGATCTGCTGATCATGAAACCACAGAGTGGTCTGATTTAGCAAGCTGATCCAATGGATTAATAATCAGCTATTCCATGGGATTAGTCCCCTGACAACACAATGAACTAAATCCCTCAGCCTGCAGCTGCACAGTAATGACCAAACATGGTGCAAAGGATGGGGCAGGAACCTGCAGGGAAGGCCTGGGGACATGACTACACCTACCCCCAGGCACTGTCAGAGCACGAGGGTGAAGCTCACAGGCTTCACAGCCCAGCACCCAGCTCAGCTGACTTCAGAATATCCTCTCCCACTTTGCTAGCAGGAACACTTGTGCTTCCCATCTGCCGTGTCTTTCTCCAGGCATTGAGGAGCCTGAACAACGGTATTTGAAGCAGATCCAGCTTCAGACAGTCAAAGTTAGACCCCTGGAGGTCTCTGCCAAGGACAGGAGCTTACATTTGCTGCATACAGAGCAGACATTCATTGGAGTAGGTGTTCCCGTCAGTCCCACAGACAGGCAAGTACAGGAGGGGGCAGGCCTGCAGCTCGATCATGTGTCCACACACTGGCTGGAAAGGAGAACCCACAGCCCACATTTCAGTGCCAGCAGCACCCATGTCTTCTTTCCACAGCATCCAGGCACGAGCAAGTGCCTGGCCAACCCAGTTCCTGCTGTCGTGGACAGGGCAGAGCCTGCATACAGAGCAAAGGAACAGGGAAAAGAGGACACTGCATCCCTCAGTGGGACTCTCAGCCTGTGCTTTCATGAAGGTTTGATGCTGAAGCTCTAGTACCCATGTGGCTGGGTATGATTGCTAGGAATAGCATTTCTCCCAGGCATGCCAGGCACTAAATCCTTTCTCATGCCATGAAAAAGGAAAACCAGCAATGTCTTACCTTTCTCAGGCCATTCTCTTTGTTCAGGTCTTCCCCTGAAACAGAGCAGAGACCAGTGAGCACACCTGTGACGGGTGGCAGGAACAGGTCATGTCCAAACCAAAGAGAAGGCCAGCTTGTGCAGGACCCACTCAGGACCTAGATCATCTGTGTGGGTTTCATGAGGGGATATCAGTTTGCTGCATGTCACCTCCCACTCTCCCTGCAGCACATTGCACAGACTCCAGCAGCAGCTAAGCCAGCTGGGACAAAGCTGGGAATGCTTGTTCCCACTCCTAATCTCTGTCCTGACAGCACTTTCTCCCAGTCTCTGGATCAGGAGCTCCACAGGGCATTCAACATATCTCAGCAAAGGTGAACCCATGTGGTGCTGCATGTGGACATGGAGTATGTGCAGAGGGCTGAGGCTGGTACCACTGGGTACAGCCGGGACTGTCCACCACACAGCTGGACAAGTCACCTCCAGGGAGAGCTGCATTGGTGGCTTCCTTTTCTGCAGTCAGGTAGAGCAGTAGCAACAGTTCACAGTCCATCTGTGTGGTGCATGAATGTCCTGGGAGCCTAAGGTCTTGCACAGAGGCTACTGCAGGATACTCAAGACATGCACCTAGGTAGCACAAATTTTCCAGAGCCTACAAACAGCTGCTTCCCACCTGAATACTCTGAGCATGCAGTGCTCTTGCAAAGGTTTGTAGGTGTTCATGGAGGCAGAAACAACAGTACCTGTCACCCAGGTGCACATGCTGTCTTCCCAGATCCTGGTTCCCATTCACATCACAGGCTGTTCCCCTGCCTCATCCCTCTCCCAAGTGCACAGCCAATGCACCAGTCCCTAACCCTCACCCCAAACTGCTAATAAGGCACGGTGTGTTCTCTTCAGTCCTTCTTCACCATGCTGCCACTGTGTTTTGGCTTGTACTCCTCACCCCCTCTCCAAACCATAGTTTCTGGGCCTTTCTGCCCTCCCATCCAGCTTTGGTCCCTCCGTGGCTCCCAGCCTATCACCAAAGATATGTTGGCAGAGTAGACTTACCACCAGCAGCAACAAGAGTCACCAGTGCCACTGCCACCACCAGCAGCTCCCTCACAGGCATGGCTGCTTCAGAGAAAAGCTGCTTTGTGTGTGCCTTGCTCTGCTCGTGGCTGCCTTTATAGGGCAGGGGACTGGCTTATCTCAGTGGCACTGGGAAAAGCAGCATTTTGAGCACTGTTTGATCTGTGCTGGGAACAGCTGGACTGTTCACCCAGAGGAATCACTTGGGCATTCTCAGGAAGCTGATAAACCACTTCAGAGCCACCTGACAGCTTTGGGTGCTGGAGATGCTTTACAGCCCGTTTCAGTATAGTCTGTGTTGTGCAATGCTGCTCTTCTCTGTCACCTTACCTCTGGTCTTTTTAACCCAAGCCAGACTTCCAGCTTGGCAGTTGCTGTAATTCATACAAGACAGGTGTCTCCACTCTGCTGGAAGGTTTCACATGGGAAAATCAGGATATTCAGGTAAGGATCGAGTGTATCCTGAGCAAGTTTGCTGATGATACTAAGCTATGTGGTGTGGTTAACACCTTAGAGGGAAGGGGTGCCATCCAGAGGGACCTTGGCAGGCTGGAGAGGGGGGCCCATGCCAACCTCATGAAGTTCAACAAAGCCAAGTGCAGGGTCCTGCCCCTGGGTTGGCACAACCCCAGGTACAAATACAAGCTGGGGGAAGAATGGTTGGAGAGCAGTCCTGAGGAGAAGGACTTGGGGATGGTAGTAGATGAGAAGCTCAACATGAGCCACCAGTGTGTGCTGGAGCCCAGAGAGCCAGTTGTGTCCTGGGCTGCATCAAAAGAAGTGTGGCCAGCAGGGCCAGGGAGGGGACTGTGACCCTCTGCTCTGGTGAGACCCCACCTGTAATACTGTGTACAGTTCTGGTGCCCTCAGCACAGGAAAGATATAGACCTATTGGAAAGTGTCCAGAGAAGGGCCACCAAGATGATCAAAGGCCTGGAGCAGCTCTGCTATGAACACAGGCTGAGAGAGTTGGGGCTGTTCAGCCTAGAAAAGAGAAAGCTCCAAGGAGACCTTATAGCACCTTCCAGTACTTGAAAGGGGCCTACAGGAAAGCTGAGGAGGGACTTTTCATCAGAAAAGTTAGTGATAGGAAAGGGGTAATGGCTTTAAACTGAGACAAGGGAGATTTAGGTTAGATGTTAGGAAGAAATTCTTCACTCTCAGAGTGGTGAGGAACTGGAATGGGTTGCCCAGGGAGGTTGTTGGTGCCCCATCCCTGGAGGTTTTTAAGGCCAGGTTGGATGAAGCTTTGTGCAACCTGGTCTAGTGGTGGGGTTCCCTGCTCATGGCAGGGGGGGTGGAACTTGATAATCTTTAAAGTCCCTTCCAACCTTAATGATTCTGTGATTCTATGATTCTGTTTGAGTGTCTGGGCTGTGGCCTGAGCATTATCCCATTAGACCTGACCAGGAGGATACTCAGCTGCCTGACCCACTGGGTAGGAGCATAGGATGGGGATCTCAAGCACAAAGGAGGCCTGCTGTTATGCTGTCAAGCCCACCCCACCACTGGGTGGGTCAGGACAGGCTGGGGGAGGAGAGGGGCTGGGGGCAATAAAATTCAGCTGAGTGGAGCTGCAGGTGCAGCCACGGTCTCTGTTCCTCTACCCATCATCATGGTGATTTAATACCTTGCTCAGCTCACCAGCTTGGTCACATTAAGTGTTGAAGCTCAGACTGACAGAGCAAAATAATCTTTGTCATAAGATTCAGTGTGATGGAAGAGGGCTATGTGCATGGGTACCTAGTTTAAATACACAGAGGTGGCATATACAGCAGGGAGGGGACAGAAGCTAGAGAGGACCCTCAGTGGTAAGGAACTCCAACTCTTCAGTGAGGGACTTCTCGACAAGCGTCACAACCCCAGAAGATGCCAGCTGCCTTGCCTACAAAACTGAGTGCTCAACATCAGTCTTTCCATCCTCCTCATCTCTTTCTAAGAAGCTGAATTTTCCACATCTATCCCCACCTTCCTCTGGTGAATCAATATCTATTGGTGAAGGGCGAAGGATGGTCAAGAAAACCACTGGGTGGAAAGTTGGTGTTGTAGCTAAAAACCAGTGTTTACAACCGTTGTTGTCTCCTTTGGGACAGACTAGCCAAGATGAAGTCTGGGCCAGAAGTCACAGAGGACCTCCTTCACCCTGTAGTGGGTAGAAGGTGCTGGGTGCCAAGGGGTAGCTGTAGGGTAGGTATGCTACAGAAACCACCAGTTGGCTGACATGCACATTTGCACTTGCTGAGGAGCTGACCATGACCATACTTAGGACATTTCTTCCCCACAGTCTCACCTGAGGCTTAAGAAGGTATACACTGGTCCCAGCCAGTTGAGACAAGAGGAAACAGCTTGGTGAGCTTCCCCTGTGGCCAGAGGTTTATGGGCTTCCATCCTTAGCCATGGGGGGTCCTTCCACCCAAATCAGCAGGGCTGTGACTGAGTTTTGGGAGGGGGAAGGTGAACAATTCAGAGTTCCCTTGCAGAACTACTCCTTCACTCTACCGAGGTGGCTGTGCACATGTTTTATATTCCCTTTTCATGGAGTTTACACAGTTCAATAACCTTTGGCTTTTATTATTATTCCACTTTGGAAATACCTCAACTAAAGTAAATATTTAACTGCATTAGCGGTTGCTCCTGAAGCACATGGGGGCCTGTTGGGCTTGTTTAGTCTAGTACAGGGAAGGCCAAAGGGGGATCTGATAGCAGCCTACAACTCCTAGTAGGGTAGTTGATGAAGCCAACCTCTTCTTAGTAGTGCCAGATCACAGAATAAAAAGCAAGAGGCACAAACTCCAGTCCTTCACTCACTTAAGTGAAGAGGCCAACTCCCACTTCCCTACAACCTCCTTTCAGGTAGTTGTAAAGAGCAATGTGGTCTCCCCTCAGCCTCCTCTTCTTCAAGCTAAACAATCCCAGTTCCCTCAGCTTCTCATAGGGCTTATTCTCCAGACCTTTCACCAATTTGGTAGCTCCTCTCTGGACACACTCCAGCAACTTGACTTCCTTCTTGTAGTGAGGGGCCCAGAACTGAACACAGCACTCAAGGGGCAGCCTCACCAGGGGCACAATCAACTCTCTACTTCTGCTGGCCACACTATTCCTGATGCAGACCAGGATGCTGTTTGCCTTCTTGGCCACCTGGCTCATGTAAAGTCAGCTCTCAAGCAGCACCCCCAGGTCCTTCTCCACTGTGGAGCTTTCCCTCATGTTGGCCACACAGCTCCAGCTATGTCTGAGACAGTCACACGGTTGAGCCTGGGATTTGCTCCTCCACCTGTCACAAAGAAGGGCATCTCGGGGGTCCTAGGCCCCTAGCAGTACAGCAGCATGTGGGAAGCAGCTCCCTATCTCCTGTATCTGGGGCTGCCTTGGAAATCCAGCAGCTTCTTCTGGGACAGAAGCAAGGGTCCTGGCTCTGCTGCCTCCTTCCCACACCACCAGCAGCCACAGCCCTTAAAGAAAGGCAGGAGGGGCAGGTATGAAAGTCCCATGCTCTCCTGAGGAGCCTGAGACTGAGTGTGACTGCCAGTAAGGCAGAGAAACTCTGCTGGAGACAGTGATGACAAGGAAGGATACTTCAACTTCCAAATCCGATCTCTAGCTTGCATCCTCATGGCATTGCCCCTGCCCTTGTGCTGGTTCCCACAGCCTCACCAGCTACCCACCCAGGATCACTCATCACATAGTGAGCTCTTATCATGCCTCTGCCTCCCGGGTGACCACAGGGCTGTTTGCAGGCTTTCCATTTGGCTGGGCACCCACGGCAGGAGGCCAGTCCCGATTGCATCACATCACTCTTGCCTCATGTCTGTTTGGAGGCCTTATCTGTGGTGTGGCCTTGGTGTCGTCACTGCTCCACCCAGCACCTGCCCATTCCTTGCTGTTATCTGCTGCCTTTCCTGGATTTCACAGCTGTTCTCAGACTCCTGGCTTGCTGTGCTCGCACCGATATATTAACTCCTGTTCAGCTGCTCCTCCCAGGGCTTTTGCATGCCAGCAAATGCCAGGGACCCAGTAACACCACAGTGCCTCTGGAACAGAGCACAGCTCTGCTTGTGCAGCCCAAGCCCAGAGCCTGCAGTCTTGCACAAGGGGGCAAGCCAAAAAGAGGAGGGCAAGTACTACAGTAATTTTCGTCCTTAGCTCACTCCCTTCCTCCAGATGCATTTTTCAGAGATCATGAGAGTCTCTGTTCTGTCTCTCCTCTCTCACCTGTGGATTCCCCTTAAGAAAGAGGAAGAAAGACCAATTTGTTCTTTTTTGTGAAGAAAAAAAAAAAAGGGGGGGGGGGGAAGAAGGAGGGGGAAAAAAAAGGCAAGCAGAATCACAGGTGACCAGAGGTTTTCCTTCAGATATACAGGGAAACTAAAACCTCACATCTGGGGAGGTTTCCTTGCATAACTGGGTCAGGGATCAGCCATCACCACTTCCCGGGTGTTTCACCAGACTTTCTGGATCCTGACCACACCTTCCTTGCACCTTAATGTGGGTGAATACTCCCACATAGCAGGCAGTGATTAATGTTCATTATTTCTTTGATGATTAAAAAATTTCACCATTACACCTTCAGCTGTGAGAATGCAAGACAAGGTAAGTACACTAATGAGTCCTCCTGCCTGCTGACATTCCCAACAGCAGAGAGGACAAGGCCATGGTGGAATTGACCTGGAGAAGATCAGAGATCCCTGCCAAGCCAGACTGTGAGCTGGGCCTCAGAGGTGAAGCAGGCTTGGGGGACCATCCATTGCTCACCTCTTCCCCTGCTTCAGCTGCCAGTTGGAGTCACTGCAGCTGCGCAGGAGTTGCTGCAGCTCACCTTAATCCAAACATACCTGCCTCCCCTCTCGCTCAGGTTTTCCTCTGCCTGTTTGGACCCCTGGACTGCAAGACATGCTCTGAATGCACCTGCAGTTTGCAAACACCCTGCAGCTCCTTGGCAGCTTAAGGATGGTGTTGATCTTCCTTTTCCCAAGTGCTTCCACATGGGGGACAGTTGTCCAACTCCTCAGTGCAGCAGATAAAGATGCAGAAAACTACAGA